TAAGCCAAGCACAGTATCTGTCAATTTAGCCGTAAGCTGGCAACATCTGCCCTCCTTGCTCATCTTTTCATACAAACACAATATAAATGCAATCATTTGGCACTTGCAAAGCTGGCCTTTTGTCTCCAGTGTTGGTTAAGAGAGCAGCCTTCCCCTTCCCCACCCTCAGTCCACGCCCCCCTCCACTGCTGTGTTTCATAGACTGCTTCTATCTTTCAGAAAGTGAGCAGGCAACTCTCTGTGCCAGAAATTTCTCATTATATGCTGCACAGCCCCAAGCTGAGAAACTCTTGATCCCTCGAGCTCCCTCAGAATACAATGAACAAAGGCATAAAGTAAGCCACTATTTGAAAGTGTCACATTCATTAGAGATGAGCTGCAGAAATAACTCTGGAACTGAGCAACCCTGAACTTGGAGGATATTTAGGTTCAAATCCAAACTTCATGTCATATGTACGTTTTCACGTTTTGCAGATAGAAAAAGGACTTAATTTTCATTCTGTCGTTGACCAAAATTCATCCAGTGTGTCCAGCTGCAGCCCCCTTGCATGCTTGGGAGATCAGGGCCTGAGCTGGCCTCCGTTATCAGCACAGAAGATCTTGCATGAGAAAAGCATCCTTATTCTTCAGGGATTCAGGGACTGAAAATGGAGCCTTGATTCCAGGTGCCATTTGTGTTAAGAGATAAGTATCACTATGGGAAACGAACAACATTACCTCTACTCCTGCCTATTCCCACCAATAAACAGCCCAAAGAAGATTAGTGCTACATGCTGCTGTGTTAATGAGGGAGACATCATTAATCAGCAGACACAGTGACACGGGCCCTGACCTTTGGCTCAAATGCAATCCCATCTGCTGACTTCACTCCCCAGGAGGAATCTTCTAAGCAGAAAATACAAGCTCCTGGGAACTAGGGAAGAATTTAACATAGACTTTTAATCTAGTTTTAATATTTCCTGGATGCTAGGCTTGGATAAGGAATCTGAAAACAAGAGGAAACCATCTCCTCTTCCTAAAGCAGGATGGTCTCAGTGCAGGCTGAGAAATCACTCTTTTCACCAGCTATAAAGTTAGTGCAAACAGACTCAACAAGGGAATTCCTGCAGCTTTGAGATTTTAGGCTTGGAGCACACCCGGATAAAGAAAATATCCTCTTATGGTTGTGGTCATTATTTTGATTAAAACCCTTGGCCCAGTGTGGCGGTTGCTTGGGCTGATACAGCTACTTCAGCAGTACAGACATTTCAGCAAATCAGGAATTAGGTGTTCTATCAGCTCTAACAGTTTGCTCCTGACCTATCAAAGCATGCAGCAAGCTCTGAGACAGGGCCCAGATCTTCCTGCATTTATAAAGTGTTAGCATCAGATGAACCCCTTACAAGACGCTGGCTCTCTATTCCCCTATTCACATAGTTTTAGTGACTTACCTGGGGTACGTATCCTAGAGGGGAGCAGCGATAACCCAGACACAGGTATCCTCTTTACCCTCTGACTGCTTGGTGGGGACATGCTGGTGATTCATATCTGGGAAACAAGCCCTCAAAAACAATCTCAACCCTGCCAGTTTAGAGCATCCCTCATGTTTATGTCATTCTCAAAGAAGGACCCCTAGGTCAGTAAATCATACCAAAGGAAAGCATCCTCTTTTGGTGGTCTCCATAGCAATTGAGGTAAGATAAGTGATGGAACAGACACTGTAGATGCTAGAGATGTCTCTTTTTATGGCCATCCAGGAAGGAGAGTGAAAGGAAGCTGTTTATGGCCACATCATGCTGCTTTTGCAGGCGTTCTGGGAAGTGGGGACCCACGCAGAGGCCCCTCGCATCTGGATGACAGATTCAGACAATGGATTGTTTTTAATCTTGGTATATAGGAGATTCCAGCTAAACTGATTTCATATGTGCTTTGCCTGGTCCCCAGCCAGCACGGGTGATGCAGACTAAAGCAAGAACAATTTTTTGTGTCCTGAGGTTGGGCCCATGGCTCTAGTGCAGTTCAGCCTTTGCCCATTGGCCAGCCAAATTGCATGGGACATCACTGGATTTGGGAAACTGGTTCTTCACCCGAGATGCACATACAAGGGCTGTTTTGGATTCTACTGGTTCCAAGTCCTTGGGTGCCGGAGCACTGCAAGAAACCCTTCTGTTAAAATTTTAGAAAGTCTTGTGGCATCCTGCCAAGGAAGATCCACAGACACAGATGTCTTCTCAACATAAAACGTGCATCCCCCACCGAAGGATTAACCTCTGTAGCTGGTGTCTCACTTTGGAAAAGTTTTTCTGAAGGGCTGAATGAAGGTCACAAGGCATGCACTGACACAGAGACTACCAGTTATACTAGCAAGGGAAACGTCTGGATCACAGGAGGGTGGGGGTATCAAAACAGTCACCTGGAAGCAACGATGCTCCTTTCCCCAAGAACTGACTGTTGGGAGAAAGCCCATGGGACAACGTATGCTGTCAAACCCACAGCGCTGTGGAGGTGCTTTAATGCTTATGTGGTGGCTGCTTTAAGTGCTCTCTCTGTGTAATAGTTAGCTGCCTACAGTTCTGCCACTGTAAATAGCTTTGCCACCTGGAAACAAATTCCAGGTTAAATGTCTGGATTCTAGTGCATTCATCATCCCTTGTCTTGGTTACAACACAACCTTGGAGAGGAATGAAAGGGAGGTGGAGTTCCTGAAGCCCAGCTAGGTGGGACACAGTCACACCAGCACAACCAACATGTTCCATCTCTAAAATGGCAAACACAGGCCAGCAGGGTTTCATTAGGGTATGTGGGAAACAGCTTTAACAACCAAGGCAGGAAAAGTTTAATGCTGTTTTCCTTTTCATTTGCCAGATGTTTGGAAAATACAACAAAAGTTTATCCCCCTACTTCTGAGAGGTGCAGCCTGCCTGGCAAGGTATGCATCTGGCCCACGAGAACTGCTGCAAAATGCTTGGGGAGAGCCTGTCCTTCCTACAGAGGTCTGCACGCTTCTCAGAGAGATGCTGAGCAGTGATAAAGGAGATGCTGAGACTGGACCTTAAGGAAGTGAAGCCAGACTCTCACAAAGAAGGCTCAGATTGGTGGCACTGTGAATATTAATATATTGACTGCACCTAATCCTTGCCTGCGCTCCACACTTTACTACAGAAGCGTGTGCCTTACGGCATGGAACAAGACATTGCCTCTTGCTATCTAGGTGAGTCCTGAATTTAACTACGTAATACAGTGGACCAACTTATCCTGAGTCTGAGAGCAAAGAGCAGTTCCAGGGGCTTCCAGAACCAGGCAGAGTTCTGCCCTAACTACCAAAAGTGGTCTTAATGTTGTTAAATTTTCACACCCCAAGTGAAACTAGTCCTCTGGTCTGAAGGTCAGTCATTTGGCCATTTCTAAGCAATGCCACTAACCACCTGGAAAAGTATTTCCCTTGAAAATGGCAGAGCTCTCTGCACCATCTTACCAGACCCTCTGGAGACTGATAGTTTCCCTTTCCTGCAGTCCTACCTCCAGACATGGGGATCTGATTGCCAAAGCTGCAGATCAGCTTGCCCACAAGTTCAGAGCAGAGTCACACCTGCACATCTGGGCAAGGCATCTGGGTCCTCCACTGAGGTGTTTTTAGAAGGCAATTAATAGTTAAACTCCTCCAAATTCTGTGCTGAAGAAGAGACAAATAGGAGTTTCTGCAAAGTTCCCTTCCATCCAGCTGGGAACTTCTCCAGACAGTTTGGAAGTTGACTGCACTCCCCAGGCTGCCCACAGTGCCAGGCTAAGGCTGATGCTGAGAAGCAGCAGACTGCATTCCCCACCGCTTGACTTCAAGCTACAGCAGCTCTGTAGCTACTGCTAAGGCAGTAATGCTGTAGAGCATCCCTAAACGTAAGCACAAACCATGCCTCTGAAGCAGCGTATCATTTCCAAGAGAGATGTTGAGACTGAAAAGGTCACTCCCGTTTACAACCCAGTTGAAGATGAACAAGGTGCATCCTACAAAGTAACTGGAAAGACAGGAAAACAAGGCACAGCAGGCAGGCTGTCTGCAGACAACCCTGGATTGGTGGGGAGGTATGCTTCCCCTGTGGGATTGGGACACTAGCTCAAAGGAGGGATGTTCACAGGCATGCTGCTGACTGGCATTTCATGTCTCTAATTCCAAATTTTCATTTGTGCCTGCTTCGTACTCAAGGACAAGGTTCAGCTTCTGGCCATCATGTCAGTTTGGAATAATATCACTGTCAGTGAAGTAACACTGCATTTACTTGCTCCTTACACTTATCTCATGGAATCAGATCTGCAATGCACTGAGAACCATGATGTTACTTCTGGTTGTCTAATTCAATCACCATCCCAGCTAATCAGACTCCACCTGCTTTGCCTTACTTCCAGTTACTCTACTGAACTGGAGACAACAAGTTGCAAGCTGCAGAAAGGTAAATATCAAGTGGGTATGAAGAAGATATTCCTCACCATGACAGTGGTGCAACCCTAGGACAAGAGCTGCAAAAGAAAAGGCTTTGAATTTTCAAAACTCAATCAAACTGAGCTACATAAGCAACCTGATCTAGCTTTGAAGCCAGCCCTGATCTAGGGAGGAGGTTGAACTAAAGCCCTCCAGAGGTCCCTTCTGTTCAATGAGTCTGTGTTGCCATTAAAATATCTTTCAGATAACACCTGCATGAAACAAAAAACTCTTTCTAGTTTAAGAGAAGATCAGACAAGCTCTATTCCTCACTTCCTTGCATTGTACTGTGGAAAGCAGATAAACAGATCAGAAATTCATACTGCAGTACATTTTCTAATATGCCTTGATGCTTGCAGCACTCCCTCCTACTTGGAAGCTAGGATCAAGGCTGGCATGGGACCTCTTTCACATCTCTACTGCTCCAGCCTTCGAGATGCCCTGTGAGCAGAGAGATTCTCAAGTTTTTAAATGCCCTTGTGCTCTCAGAACTGGGAACCCAGTACTGAGCAGTCTGGTGAAGCTGTGCAGAGGTCTGCAATCTTACCTTCACATCTGTGGCTGGTCTCGCTTTGCTTGTGTCCCGCAGGGCATTTGCACTCGTAAGAACCCACTGTGTTGATGCAGTTACCACCTTGACAGAGGCCAGGAATGGCTTGACATTCATCCACATCTACAGGAAGATGAGTAAAGACATTAGAAAGTGCAACCTTTGAAACACATGAATACTCAATCCCAGCATGGTGGGAGTGCTATGAGAAAGAAGCAACTTTGCTCCAAGTAGGTGGATTTACATTTCCTAATGCAATTACCCATCAGATTACATTAGAGATAAGGTGAAGGACAGAAAATGGACATAAAGGAATTGTTGGCTTATCTACACAAGCAAGAGGGAAACAAAAGTATAGTAATGTTTTCCAAAGCAAACATCAATGTGTCTACCCCCTCGTGGTTCATTCCAGGTTGGTAGCTGAGTTGCGGGTGAGAGTTGGTTTGGTGGGATGTCCTCCTGCAGCCTTCAGAGAGCAACATCTGTTGCAGGGCAGAGAGGGGAACCTATGGACTGTAAGCTTTTGCTCTTCAGCCCCATCCCAGGAAGGCTCATACTGCAGCCATGGTCTCCTCGTCTGTGAGGGGACACTGTGCTTTCCAAAACACCTCAGGAAGGCCTCAGTACTTGCTGCTAGAACCAGCACACTCATGTGCTACAGATACTATTTATACTCCTGTTCTGCTTGCAGTAAAGGTGAGTGACAAATATATTAAATAGGCCAAGCTCTCCTGAAGAGATTCAGGTCATAAAATGCAGATCGCAATAGACAGCCAGAGAGTTCTCCTCTTCAGCCTTTCCAATTTTATCCTACAGACACTAGCCAATGGGGGATTTGGCTTTTGTAATTTTGGCTTTTGATTGTTGCAGGTAAAGGCTGAAATTAGTTGCAGATGCAGAAAGGAATTCATGCAACTCTACACGGAGACCCATCAGTGGGGAGAAGCAACAGCAGCTCCAGAAAGGCTGCCAATGGGATCTGCTGATGGGAACTCAGTGGACCCATTCTTCTATTTTTGCCTGGGTGTCCTAGACATTGAATGCAACCTCTAAGCATGTGATTTATGTACATTTTATTTGCTTGTGTGATCTCAAAGGAGTTATGGCTTCTGTTTTGAAGCAATATTACAATTTACAGAGCACTAGTCACCTGATACAAGTGCTGATCATGTTCCAGTGCTGGGACAGAAGCTCCAACAACAATAGCAGCACCACAGAATGAGGGCATACGGAAGGCTGTTACTTAGTTTTAAACCCGGAGAAAAACTAGCCTGATTCACTACATTTTGTGGAATGGAGGAATATCACCCGAGAACCACAGCATGGCCAGAATTTTTAAGTGAGCTAAGATGATCTTAGGTGATCCCATGAGAGACCCAAGGTCCATGGTGATGCTCTGGGACATACAGTGATGGATTTAGCAAAGTTTACACAGAGAGCTGTTCTCTGTATGGGGGCTCCTGGCAGTCATTCATCACTCGCCCTTTCAGTGCACATCAGGATGAATAAGGGAACATCCTTAGATACTCGTGGCATTTACCTTGGCAGGCTCCAGTACGAATGTTGGGAATGAAACCTCGGCGGCAGGGGTGAGGCTGGGCAGGGCACATCTCACATGGGTGACCCCAGGCCCGTCCAATGGTGGCACAACACATGGTCTTGGTGCATACGATCCCACTGAGTTGGCCCTGGCACATTTGGTTATTTACTTGGCTAAAGCAGGGACCAGTACGATAGTCTGAGGGAGAAAAATAACATCCACATGTTAGATCAAGACACAAACACAAGGTTTTCTATCTAACACACAGAGTGCCTATTGCCCTTCCTACCAGCACAGCCATTCAGGTGTAAAGTCAACAAGTTCTGGAAAAAAAAATCTGCAACCATGAAAAGAACAAAAATTTAAGACCAAGCTGGAGACCAGTACTGGAGGCAGTGACCTTCTTTCTGCTGTATGTTTCATGTGATCATCTAGAGGTTCTCCAAGCCAGCTCTTCCTGGTCTCTCTCAGGCTCATCACATGAACTAAACTTATTCTATACCCTGAGTCACTCCCTTTAAGTACTGGCCCTAGAATGAGCTCAAAATATGAAGCCAGGCAAAGAGGCAATTTCAGGGCTGCAAGCTCACCTGTTCTGTGAACTGCTGGTGTCAGCAAAGCAATCAAACTTCATTTTAGTTAGGGGCAAAGGTGCACATGGAGATGATGTGGTACAAGCATCTCATGAGCAGCCTTAGGGCTTGACAGTCCATGTAATGTAAACATATAGGATGGTGGAGATATCCAGATCACTTCTACTTGGCTTACAGAGGAAGAGTCCTAGATCTCACCCACAAAATGTTCTGGGAGAGAATTTCCAAATCTTTCCCTGTGATGTCTACTGTAAATCCCACAAAGGGATTTCTACACTGATGGTCTCTGTAAAGGCAACCTCCTGCAGTAATACATGTCATTGTGATTAATTTCTTTGGTTTAACTCTTAAAGGTCCCCTGGTAATTTTAACTAGATCTGTAAAACCCAGATGCGGCAGAAACAACCAGTCTGTTTCTGATTCCCAACAAGGATCTTCCTATCCCTTAAACCCCAAAAGATTTTGAAGGGCTTGTTTGCACTAAGGAATGTGGTTTTGCCACTGTCTGGGCTCTTATGACCCTTGATTAGGGATATTACCACAGCAGGCATTCATCAGGAAACAAAATTCTTAAACAAGAGTTTTTTTCCCACTACTGGGAATAGATGATTGCATGCAAGTGTTTGATCTGTGGCTGGAAAAAGGACCTTTAACCGTGTTATTTTCAGATCAGAAAATTCCACATTAACTGTCAAGGAAGTTAGGTATTGGTCAAATAGCCATTATTTCAGATAGTCTGGCTGAGATTTGCAAAGTTGCTTATGGATTTGATGTTGGAGCGCCCAGTAATTAGTAATTGACTGTGAAACCAAATCCCCACATCAGCGCCCAGATTAACCCACAGCTGTCTTTGCAGTGAAACATTTGGATTTGACATGTGAAGCAACAAAAAACTTGTGTGAAAAGTGGTTATACCTAAATCACGAGGAATGGGCAGCACTTGTGCCCACATCTAAAGACTAATAGTTCTGTTTCCAGAAATGTCTTAGGATAATATAGACACTCAACAAAGCAAAGCTCTTTGTCCATACTCCATTGCTTGGCCTGCAAGTTCTCAGATATGAGTCTTTCCACACATGATCTTTGCAATCAGCTCCCTTCTTTTTAAATCCTGACACACATGTGCAAAGAATAAAAAGCAAGGAAAACTATTAAATTGACAGTTTGAGACAGAAACCTTTCTCCCATAGGGTATGTTTGCATGACAGCCACACTGGCAGAACCTACATTTGCATGAAACCACGACAGAGTGCCTTTATCCTGGGCTATAAAAGATCATCTGGAAATGCTGGTAATTACTGCAGGCTTTAGACTGACAATGCCTGTGCTGATGTGCCTTCCTCGCTCCTGTGGCTTGTGCTGAGTAAAAACTCTGTGAGGTTCATCTGTGTTATAATTATCCCACCTGGCATCAGGGTAAGCATAAGCTACATTGAAACCACACAACAAATTCTCCTCTATCTCTGGGAAATTATCAATTAGCACAATAATTGCTTATTTCCAGCTTAATGTTCCCTCTGATTTGTATTTCTTGAACAGCTGGGAGCACAGTCATACTTGAAAACTAAAAGTATCAAAAGAAGTTTGGTCTGTGGATGTCACTGAGAAGTAAACAGCAAGAGGGATTTGAGGATGAAAAAAAAAGGCAATGATTTTGAAGTTATATTAGCATAAAGGTGACATGATCTCATAAAAAAGCCTTTGTTTGGAAATCAGAACAGAAATACGTACTATGTTTGCAATGGTGAGTTATCAAATAATCACCTTTTGGTTTTTGATCCAAAATTTAACAAGATACCAAAGCACATGTCTCCTGCCATGCCAAGTTTAATGCTTTAGTTTTTCCTAGTTTATTCCTAGAAAAGAAATCAAGAAAGTCTGAGTTGTTTTCTCACCCATTGTCTTTTTTTTTGTAAAACTGAGAGGCTCTTGCTCAAATTTTCAACCTTGAGGAAAAGATGAAGGTGAGCTCTTTATAACCACACCAGTGAACAATTTAAATCTCCTCAACAATCAAACCCGAAGAACTACAAAAGAAATTGCTTTGTGATCCTATTTCAATGGAGAAATCAACTCAGTAACAGACAAAAAGGCTAACAGACTTTAGGAGGCTAACAGTATTAGGAGAAGACTAAAGAACCATCACTAAACTCACAGTTTGCTTCCATCCTGAGGGCTGCTTGCAGTTCTAGCCCCCAACTCAGAAAACAGCTAGCAGAACTGGGAAAGGATCACAAAATGGCAACAAGGATTATCAAAGGTGTGGAAGAGCTTAGGTATGAGGAACAGCTGCACTGGTTAGCAGTCCTCAGTCTGAAAAAGAAACACCTGGGGGAAGACCTGATAGCAGAGTGCAAAACCATGAGTGGCCTAAGGAGGAACGGACTCGCAGAGCCAGAACCAGGAGGTATCATAGGATAGGAAGTGATGCTGGCTCAAGATAAATTGAGGAAAGTGTTTCTCCAGGCAATGTATAAGCTAAGGGGAATACGTCTAACAGAGGATGTTATGAATTGTCAAAGACTGTGAGCTACAAGTGCCTGGAGCATCTTACAGAGGAGGATCATATAGGATTGCCCTGTTCCTGTGCTGTTCCCCAGACATTAGTTTATGGACACTGCTAGAGCTCTGAGGCACAAACTCAATCTCAGCCAAGGGCCCTCAATCCACCCTCATACCACTTTGTAAGCCATCCAGGCAGTTAAATTTTAGAGTTGGTTTTGGTCAGCATTGTGCTGCAGCACCATTGCAGGTGGAGCATCTGTGTTAGATAACTCTGGTCAGGTGGGCTGCAGCTCTGTTTGAATGTGGCAGTGCCTATGTGCTTACAGTGAAATATACATTTTATGAGCTATTCTGAAGTTGTCTTAACCCTAGGACAATGCAGAAACACCTAATAAAGAGGACTTGCTTTCTCCCTGTCCTAGTCAAAAGGATCACTGGGAAGAACATGTGGTTGATGTCATTGTGGTGTGTACCTACAAAGGGCTCTGACTTAGAAAGTCAGATCACATAAATGTATAACCCAAAATCAATGCATGGCAGCACTGTATGGAGAGGAAAGGGGTAAACTTGCACCTCCCACATCATCTTGCTGAGGCATGGCTAGATGCACTGCAGCAAGAATTCCTTGAGATTGATAATGAAAGCACGATTGTAAGGAGAACACCCCCTTTTAAACAAATAATTGACAAAAATAGATTTTCATATGTAGATTACTTCTTTGGAGGGAATGAAGCCAAGGAAATTGCAGTCTGGAGTCCAGAAAGCCTGGCTGTATTCCAGCTCCCATCTGTTGCTAATTTTAATGGTCATATTATTAAATTTTTAGTGGTGCACCAATCAAATTTTATTAAGGAAATATGCACTCTTAGGAGATGTCTAAAGCCCTTTTACAGTCTATGTATGGGATCCCATCTTCCAGGAACCCTGTCGCAGGTAGTTGTCCTTCAGAAGTTTGGTCTTTGCTGGTATGTTTCTTAGAAAAGCATAGATGAGGTGCCTTCCTCACTGAAAGCTGAGATTTCTTCCTGTTTCTTCTTTCAAGCTCACTCAGCCTTACAATAACAGTGTCCAGTGGCAGGATATGGATGAGTTCCACCTTTCCATCTGCAGGTAAAGTTCTCATTAAAGAGATTGCAAGGAATACTGGATGAGGCTTTATTGTGGGAATCAGTAAGAATCTTCTCCCCTCTACAGAAGAGACTTTTAACACAGCAGGGCCATGCATATCTGGGCCTTTACCAATCACTTGTAGCTGCAAAAAACAACATGCCAGCTCACTGCCTGACTTAACCTCTCCAAATACAGTTTTGCAAACAGTAAACACACAGCATAGGACAGACATCAGCTTCTCCCCCAGCATCTATCATCAGCCTCATCCATGCACTGATCTCATTTTTCTTTCCTGCCCTATTAATTTCAAAGTAGACCATGCTCAGCACGTTCAGTCTGTAGATTTCTTATCGCCATAGAGTTAGATTAGGTTACTATTCATGCCTACTTGTCTTGAGCAGCCAGCAAGGAGAGAGAGCACTCAAATTGCAAAAGGCACCACGGAATCAGAGTTGAAGTGTCAACGTGTTTGCATTAACCACAAGAAATCTGACTCCTTGCTACGCTTTTTGTTTTCAAACCCTTGCCACCCCCACCCCACTGAGGCAGTATGGCTTTGAAGCACCACCTAGCCTGGACTAGGGACTTTTGCAGATGCCGCAGATTCAGGTTGGGGCTACAGTGAGTCTTATCTACCCAATCCTGCAGCCAACACAGGCCCCAGATGTGCTCGGAAGAGGAAGCGTAACAGGAATAGACCTCATTCCCAGTTTCCATGTTTGGCTGGTTGTCATGGAGATCGTTAGGAACCCCTATAGCTAATGAACGGCCATTCCTGACAATTCTAAGCCACAAACCCTTGGGGAGCTAATGGTGGGATCTATGCCATTACACATGCTCTTACATTGAGCCATGCTATTCCACTTGCAAGCAGCTTCCTGAAAATATCCCTGTAGACATTTTTAACTTTCCTAATTAGTGTGTCTAGGTTGTAAGTGGAGGAACGATTCACGGTTGCTGTGGACATCTGCCTTCACCCACGTGC